ATATATTAGGATTAGATGATGTATATGTGGAAGACAAAAAGTGTTGTTTTAACTTTGTGTGACTGTTTAATGGGTGGCACGATGGATCAGTTGGTAGAGCTGCCACCTCTCAGCGAGAAGGTTGCCCCAGTTCAAAGCCTGGCAGGGGGTGGAGTTTGCATGTTCTCTCCGTGCATGTGCGGGTTTTTCTCCAGGTACTCCGGTTTCCTCCCACAGACCAAAAATCATGCATGTTAGGCTGATTGGTAACTCTTAATTGGCTCTAGGTGTGAGAGTGAATGGTTATTTGTCTCGTTTGTCTCCATGTGTCCCTGTGATGGACTGGAGACCTGTCCAGGGTGTCCCCTGCCTCTCGCACCATGGATATGCTTGGATATGGGCACCAGTGACCCATCAATCTAAAATATAAAACTTTGTTTTGGATTGTAGTGAGATAGGGTCGGTTAGCGTAAATTAGCTTCACTACAATCAATATTTAATGACGGGTTCTCTCTTTTTCGAGCTACTTGACAGATATGTGACAGAGATACTGTGTGGGAGATGGTCTAAAAACCAGTGACATGAGAAGTTAATTTTCTTTGACCCATCAAAATGAGTGTGGTCATTTATTAACAGAATCAAAATTTAACATCAACATTGTACACTTGATTATTCTGATTGAACGCAATAGCACAGCTTAATTAATGAGCTTTACAATGAGAAATCATACGGCCATGATTTCTCACTTGCAACTAAAATACAACAGACATTTCTGAAAATATCTGGATTAATTACTGGCAAGATAGAAGAGTTTTAAAGATGGGAAATGAAGTAGTTTAAATGGAGATGAAAAAAGATGGATGAAGATGTATGTCCGTAGACAGAACAACACGCTCCTTTGAAGCGCAGTTCGCCCGCGGTACACTGGTAGTGAAGCTCATGGCGACACTTTACCTTTGGCGGAGGATGAATCCGCGGCGGTCAAGAGGTCCTTGATACGCTACCTTTCAGCGTCTCCTCGGGGCGGCTGCGACTCGGCAGAAGTCGTGAGAACTAGTTCCACAGAACAAACCTCCTCAGAAGTTATGAAGTTTTCACCGGGTGGAGTCACAGCGAGGCATCGTGGCTCCTACAGGAACTCCAGCCGAACTTCATCAGTACCAGAACTTTGGTTCAAGTGTAGAACTCCGAACTCCGGTTCATGTCTCAGAACTTTTTCTGTTCGGTTCTGCCCTCAGAACTGACTGGAACTAGGAAGTGTCGACATTTAAAGAGTTCTGTTTCCGGTTCATTTGAGAAGTCCTGATTGGTTGAAAGAACCAACAGGGGTGTGGCTTTAGTGACGTAAGAGGTTACTACAAGTCAGAAAAACAGTGAGATGTTTTTGGAACAGACAGAGAAATGTTTTTGAGCAGACAGAGAAATGTTTAGGCGAGATGACAGACCACAGGTGCCAGCTCTTTCTTATTTCTGTCTGATAGGTTTAAAAACATGACAGTTCGTTCTAATAGCTTCTTTCTGACTTTTGACCGACATCACTCCTTCTCATTTCAGACAGAAGATCAAAAAATGCATAATTACTTTGTAACAGACATTAACTTGATTTCTACTTTGAATGAGGATTAAAAAATCATTAATACTGTTTCACAGTTGATTTAAAATGAGTAGTTCACTTCAACATTTAAAATGGTTTGAACTAAACACACTTTGATTATCAAGATATTGTAAAATAGTAATGATAATATAAAAAGAGAGTGTTCTTTCAATTGATTAGTGCAGGACACACTTAGAAAGTCTCTGGATGAGCTTAATTTGTATTTCTGGACTCAAATCAATGAAATAACAGTTCCTGTCCCATGAAGGTCCTCAGGGTCAGGTTTTGACCTGAGGCTTAGTTCACTACAGGATCTAACACTAGTTCTTGACTCACCCTTCTTACCATAAATGACTGGAACCATCATATTCATATTTTGTACTTCATTCCCTAGTTTGTAAATAGCTTTTAAATATGCCCTTGTGCAATAAAAACATTTAAAGTACTGTGTCTTAATTCTTGTGTACGTGTTACAGAGGGTCAGAATGTGCTATGAACAGAGTCCAATGCATAAATCTGAGCTAAGGCTAAATAAACTAGAGCTAAGAGTAAAGTAATACAACGCAGCGTACTGAATATATTTTATTTTATTCATGCATTGGAGGTGTTGGCAACAAATCTGTGTTAGTTTTGTGAGTTTGCTTGCCATTATTTTTATTACAGGTTATTTACTTGTGTCATGGTGTTAGATGTGACACAGTTTTAGTGGAATAAACTCTAACTGGGTGAAAATATGCCTCTGTTGTGACTGCTGACTTATGGGGGTCATGACCGGAGCATGGCCTCTACAGTACAAAAAGGCTTCATGTATCTGTCTGACCCAGTTTCAGGGCTTTTCCATAACGTGTAGAGTTACTCAAATGATCTGAAACGGGAGTCACACCCTCAAATAAAACTCAGCTATTATTACAACAACAAAGTGAACAGAGGTGCTGTCAGATCATTTGTCCTCGTAATTGGCCAATTTATGAATTATTATTGGACCTCATGGTTAGAAAAATGCATAAATCATCTTTGGAAGACTGTTTGTCTTTCAAAGTGGCATAAAGTCAGATGTACATTTAAACATCATGTATTTGATCACTTTGACCTTAAAGTTGTGCATTTTATGTACATGTTTATTTCTGTGTTGCATTGCAAATTATACTTTAGCAACAAACGAAATGACTTTTAGTTTCAAACTGTTCAATTAATCTTGTAATGATGTTTAATTTTTCCTCAGAATCAATCAGTACTTAACTGTAGCAGCACTTCTTCACAGAGTTTTTCAGCATTTGCTTTTATTCTTGAAGTTTATTTAGCAAACTCTTTAGATCTGGTTACAGTTTCAAAATAATGTACCAAAAACACACATTAAACATTAAAATTTAATTCAAGTTGCAAAATACAAAACAAGTAAAAAGGATCAAATATATTCATTTTCAGCTATTAAAAAAGAAAAGAAAAGTAGAATATGTGTGGGGTTTTTTTCAAATCATAAAATGTTTCACGTCTTTTATACATTTTTTTTTACACTTTTTGTCATAATTTGTTCAGTTAACTGAAGTTGAGCACCACCATATTTTAGCTCCAGTCCATTTTAACAGCTTTTAATTGGCCAGTGCAAATTTACATCTTCAACTTTTTTTAAAATATAAAAAAACTTCTAAACAATTAACATTTTTATCATTTTACACAACCCACTTTCCCATCTATTCAGTGATTTATGCATAACTTTTAAAATGCATTAATAACATCATATAATTTTTAATAATTATTTAGGTTCACTGATGAAAACAGAGAGGCTACATTCTACAATAATTCTTTTTTTGTTGAAACATTTTGTCTTTTATCCAAAATACTTATTTTTTTATCTTCTAAAAGACAAAACTTTTCAACAAAGAAGAATCCATCCAGAGGAACTGACTCAACCTTGTTATATTCTTTAATAAAGTTATTTTGGCTGATCCCTTCTTCAGGAGTTACCACAGCAAGTGAATTTGCATGAAATATTTGACAACTGTTTTACATCAGATGTCCTTCTTGATGCAACCTAGGCTTGAACCCACAACCTCAGGATTGCAAGACCATGGCACTGGCCACCAAGCTACCACAGCGCCCAGGGTAAGATGGGTGCATTATTTAGTAAAAAAAACAACTGAATACATAAACCTTGTGATCTGTTATAGGTAAGTATATATTGATTTGTAAAAATAAAATAGACCTGGTCTATTTTTTTTATTTTATTTTTTTGACATGAAGCTTTTATTCTGCTAACCATTCATTAATGTTAGATTTGCTTTTTATTTTATTTTTCACTTTTCTACACCACCTTGCAACCTACCTGTTTTTGTTGTTGTTGCTACTTTTCCTTTTTAATTACCATTTTATTTTCACTTGTTTTAAAAAATATATAATAATTTGTTTGCATCCTTTATGATTGTCTATTGTTGTCTTTGTTGTCGTCATCACTCTTTGTTAAAATCAGGTCTCACTTGTAAATGAGTCTCTGAGGCTCAGTGGGATTAACCTGTATAAATAAAGATTAAATTAATTTCCAATGCCAAGTCTGTAAATTTTATCTTTAGGTTAACGTGACTCATCCTATTTGTGGTGTCACTTGTAAACATTTTCAATTAGGTGTCTACTTCCTGGTCTATTTGCTGTCATGTTGTTTGAACAGATTATTGTTGGGTGAATGAAGAATAATTCTTAGTCTTTTTTTTAAAACTTTTCACAGTCAGATGCACTAACTGTCTTTTTTTCACTACCTTTCTAATCTGATGTTTCAAACATTTGATTTTCTGATTGCTTTGATAATTTGGCCATGAATGATTCCTTTATGGTTCTAATTTGCCTATTTAGCTTTCAGGTTTACACCTTTGCACCTTTATTTTTATTTTACAACATGCTGGATTTCATGCGATTTTGCTGCAGATTGCTAGATGAACTGGTGCTACTGAAAAGTACTATTAATCATTAATGTGGCACTCAAATGATAATCCACTGGTCTCAGAGAAGCTGAATGTGTGTCAGGCAAGATCTTCCGTAAACAGTTTGTGACCCACTTTAGTGTAATTATCTGATAGTTGTGTTCTATAAATTTTTAGGCCAATCTCAAAGCTCTCCTTCCTGTCCAAGAGCCTGGAGAAGATTACAGCCCACTGACTTTAAACTTATATGAGCCTGACTTGGTGTTTCAGTCTGGTTTTAAAACCTGCTACAGAATCCAATGAGGATTTTAATAATGTTCTTGTATCCACAGACTCTGGTCATTGTGTTGTTTTGATGCTGATGGACCTAACAGTTGCCTTAGATACAGTAGACTTTCAGGTCCTCTTGTCTCGCCTGGAGAACTTGGTAGGCATTTAGGGTGCTGCTCTAGAGTGGTTTGGATCCTAATTAAGAGGGTAGTTTTTGGGTTTCAGTGAGAGCCATTGAGTCCTCTGTAGCACCTCTATGGTGTGCCTCAGGACTCTCTACATGACCCTCTTCTCTTCTTCCTGAACTTACTTCCTCTTATTCATTCAACCTTTATTTAGACAGATAAATCACATTGACCCTCGGAGACTCATTTACAAGTGAGATATGTTTAGGTAGACAAAAAGTAATGAAACCGGACACTTGTAAGAAATTGGAGGCAACCCCCCCCAAAAAAAATCCTATCAAACTCTTTCTTCTTGGCTGAGAAGAAAGACCCTGATAATGAAAAAAACATCCCGCACAGACAAGCACATGGTGACGTAGAACATTCTGCAGAGTGGGGGAGACGACAAGAGCAGTGAGAGTATCCAAGGACGCTTTTGACTCTGAAAACAGTATTTATTCCCATTTTATGCTGATGACAGTCTATGTGTCACTAAAACAGGAATATCCAAACGTTGTGAACTAACTCCTGGAATGCATTGCAGAAATCAAAGCATGGATGTTTTGGTGAACCTTTTACACATGAATATGCAAAAGACAAAGGTACTGTTGTTTTGGCCCAGTGATGCTTCCAAAGTCCATACTGATCACACAATACAGTATCTGACTCAAACAACAACAAACCCAGTGTGACGTTAGATACTGGTGCTTAGATTGTCACCGGTTAAGTCCCGCTTTTATCCCTTAAGACAATTGTCCAAAGTAAACTTTTTTTCAGCACATTAAGGTTTGAATCCATTATTTTTTACTTGTTTTGATAACTGCGATGCATTTTATCTTGAGATGAGCCCATTGTTACTTATGTGACTTGTTCAAAATTGTAGTAAACCAAGCCTTTATTTAAACTCATCTAGATTACTGTAATGCTCTGTATGTTGGTGTCAATGCATCTGCCGTTTCAGATTATGTAAAATGCTGCGGCCTGTCAATTAACTGGCTCAAGAAACTTTAACCGCTTCACCACTGCCTCCTTTGGTTACCAGTCCACTTTAGAATACTTTAAACTATTTGATAAATTTGTTTTTAATTTTAAATAACCTTGGCCCTCTAATCTTGTTGAAGTAAGCTAAATGGGATGCTTTTGAGGGGAGGGGTGGAGGAGGTGGGTAAATTGGGTGGGGGTAAAGGTATGGAACAAAGTTGTGGATTTTTTTTTTTTTGTGTGTGAAAAATTGCAGATGTTTGTTATCTGTAAGATATTGACTGTAAGAGTTTTATTGTTTATTCCTGTTTTTATGATTGTATATTTTATTTTTAGTGTTTACGAGCGAGTGCATGTTTGTTTTGTTGCATTGAAGTTTGTACACCGTTTTGGTCAAATGAGAAGTTTTAAAGGGCTTCATAAATAAAAGTGGATTGGATTAACCAATCTGTATCATCCATTCAATTATGTTTTTGTACCTGCTAATTCCTGTTCAGTCATGGAAAACTGGTGCACACACACCCGCACGCATGCACGCACGCACGCACACACTTATACATACGCATATTTGTATCAATGTAACTGATCAGTCTTTTTTACAACGATGCCGAGGCATACTACATGTTTAACACGTGCACACACACCCACTCACATGTATGAAATGTTCTCAGGTCACTTCTTCAAGCTGGCACTTCACATTACGCTTGTCACCAGAGATTTAGGGGGCTTATTATGTTTGTTAAACATGTTAATCAACAGCGTTGTGGGGGGAAACATCTGAGGGTAAAGAGTGTCTTCTTGGAACAGATGGGAATTATGTGAGCATTAAGAGCTTAGATAAGGAGGCTACAACCTTTTTACTCAGGTCAGACACAATGTGAATACTGACCCAGCAGCAGCCAGGTCACACCAGGACGGACCTTAATCTGGAATGTGCTCTGAATCAAATTTCAAGTTCTTTTTGCGTTTGATTGATTTATTTATTTTTACATTTGTATTTATTTAGATCAGGGGTCTGCAACCTGTGGCTCTCAGCACATCTCCGGCTATTTTAAGATTTTACCAAAACAGACATGAAATTAAATTTTATTGGTAACAGAAAAGTCTAGTTTTAGCAGTTTTTCTGTCAGTTTTATGCAAATAATGTGAATGATACTGCTAATAGGAGCAAAACATGCTGATTAGATTTAGCTTCTTCATTTTCCCAGTTTTCAGCCTTATTGGATTTTTCACATCCACAGAATTTGTTTTTGGAATACTTTTACTTTACTTTTACTTTTAATTGTTTAGAAGATATACTGCGAGGCAGTTTAACAATAAGAACTAGAAAACATAATAACATAATTTAAATATAATTAAGGTAGTTTTAATTTGAAACATCAATAAGTCACAAAACATATTAAACAAACTAGCTTAATTTTTTATGCACAATTTAAATTTATGTTATAACACTTCAAACTGGAATTATTAGTTTTTCCACACATAAAAGGAAGACTCACACAGGCCTGCAGAATTCAATGTTTTATTAAAAAAAAAAAAAAAAAAATCAAAATCAGTGTAAACTAAATGAACCTGGTATTTTGTTTTGTCTGAAAAGGTAAAAATATAAATAAATGTTAAAATTAATTATGTATTTTTAGCTTCACAATGTTACCCCCACTGGACAGAAAAGCCCCTTCCAACAAACTTGAAGTGGCCCATGGGCCACCAGTTGAAAATCATAATCGGAGCAGGTTTTGTGACTCTGGTGAGTGAAGGGGCAGAATGGAGATTCTTTCTGTTCTTGTTGAGTTCCTCATTGATAATTTTATCATTAACTCTTTTATTGTACAGATTTGTATTGCTTCCCCAAAATGTTAATTTGCATAAACAGCAGATTTTGCAGTTATATGAAGCTTAGCAAGCAAACAAATGCATTTTTTTCTTCCAAAAATAATTATGTGCAAAGGCTGGATGAAAAATGAAGAAAAAAAAATACAACCAATGGAAAAAATGTTGTTCAAGGCTATTTAAAACATGAAGGAAAAATCGAACTGATTGAACATGCAGGTTTTATGAATTTATATGTCTCAGAACTCCTGGGCTGCAGTGTCCTGGTGTTCAGTGGAACCATCTTGTAATTCTGAGGCTGCAGGTTGGAGTCCAAGTCCAGGAAGTGCATCTGGAAAACAATTGCCAAATATTTTGTGAGAGTTTGCTCACTGTGGCAATCCCTGCAGAAGGAATCAGCCGAAAGCAAAACAAACAAACATGTCATAACATTACTGGAATTAAAAGTCATTTATCTTTTTTTTTTTTTGAGGAATTTAGAATTGTTCCTTTTTCTGAAGCATGCGTAATCAGTATCATGAATCACTTCTGAACAGCCACATACAGTATCTATTTGTCACCTGAAACCTGCTCCATTTTTTGTGCCAAATTGTAAACCCCGTGATCATCCACGTGAGCCGTGAGAATAAACACTCATGCACACAAGCACACATGTAGGTCCTCCTGACATTGCAGTCAGCTGACGTGATGTCTGCGGAGATATTGTGAACTGAAGTTTAGTGGGACACTCCAGGTGGATTAAGGTTTCCATAAAAGAGGATGAACATCCTTGATATTGTCAAATATTCACAGAGAAGAGAAAGTGAGGAGAGCTGGACACACTTAGATTTTACCGCAGAGAGAGACATACCATCTTAAAGAAAAGGGTTGGGGTCATCCATAAAGAAGTTTGAAGATCAAACAGGCAGCAGGAAACTTCTTCTCTTCGCCCAAGCTCATCATATGACATGAGTCGACGCCAATACAACTTATTAAACTGAGATTGTATTTGCAGGTTGTATGAATTAACGTCTATTCTCTGCTGTAATGCATGTTTTTTTTAAATGTATTTCAAAATGACTTGCTTAACACATGACATGTGTGTGTGCCCTCTTAGCATGCCTTTGTCTGTGCTGAAATGCACTCCATTGTGTGTGCTGATGGCCGTAACAGTGTGCGCTTGTACGCTAAAAAATCACACCATATGGATCGAGAAGCAAAACTGTAGCCAGTGTGTGGCCATCAACACAACCATCTGCAGCGGCTACTGCTACACCAGGGTGAAGACCACCACACTTTACACTCATCTGTTACTTTGGCACAATGAAATTGTAAAACAATTTAAAAGTGACCATGCACTTTCAGTGAATTATGTCATATATATATTAGGATGCCAAATTGTAAATAAAACGACACTAAATTGCATAGGAAAAAAAAAAAAACATTGAGAATGATACCATAGTGTTTTTCATAGTCTCACAGCTCTGCTTCCTGTAGGACACCAATCTGAAGGGCCGGTTTGGGAGGTCTTTCTTGATCCAGCGAAGCTGTGTGCCTCTCTCCCTGATCTACCGGGCTGTCTTTCTTCCTGGCTGCCCTCAAGATGTCAACCCACATGTGCAATACCCTGTGGCCCGCTGCTGCAGCTGCAGACGCTGTGACACAAATACACACCACTGTGTCCGCCCCAGACCATTCTCCTTTGATCAGTGCTCCATAACACTGAGCGACGTTGGGAACCACAGCCGGACCTGCATTGGAAACCTGACAACATGCTAATGGAAGTGATGCACACTCATGTGGGACAACGCAGGAATTAATCGGAGAACCAGGTTGTGTTTCTGCTTGATGTTCTTGTTTGACGTTTCTGCTCATGGTTGCTGCTATACCTTCTGTAGGTTTGATGCTGCAATAAAACACTGTGAAAAGCATGTATTACATCTGTGAATTATGCTGCTAAAAGTGTAGATGTAAAATGAAGTCTTATTTCTATATGCATGATTTATTGATTTAGAAAAGGCAGTAGTTTCGTACATGTGTATGTTTGTGAGGGAATTCATGCACACTGCATTTGGACAAAAGCTCTCAGTGTTTAGCTCAGATTAACAACAATTTGTTAAAGTGATGTTTACCTATTAAACTCCATTACAATTCAACTGATCAACACATTGGCTAAGTGTGAAATACTTTGTCTTCTTTCTGTAAGATAACAACTTCTATCACTCAGGATGTAGAAAAATAAAAAAGATAAAACATCAGGGAGTGTCAGGAAGCTTATCTAAACATTGGCAATACGGTAGTCCCTCAATACTTATAGGTTTGTTTATTGCAGATTCGTTCTATCGCGGTTTTTCAAAATAAGATTGGACATGACACACAACTGGCTGACTGACGGATGAGCCATACGATCGGCATGGAATTTTTATTTAAAATAAATTATTTAAAATTATTTAGCACCTGCTGCACATTTGTGCAGCCCAGAGCTGCAGAAAAAGCGTCCTCCTGCATCTTTGTGCAACCCATACTGCTATAGGATAAACTTCCTGCTGCAGCTGACCTGCTGATCTCTGTGCAGAGCATAGAAGTGGGTGTGGCCAAGAGCGCTTGCTGGTGGCTGAGAGCAGAGGAGGCAAGGAGCTGAAATAAATAAAATAAATAAATAAAGTGCTATGTGTTGTCATCACTATATGCTCCCATACAAAAACGAAATTAGTTCTATGCATTTAACCCATTGCACCTGGGATGCACCCAGGTGGAGCAGTGGGCAGCTACGTAAGCACCCGTGCTCAGAGACACCACAAGATGTGCACTGACCTGGGACTGAACCCAGGGCCTTTGGGTCCTGAGTCGGCTGCCCTGCCCCTACATCATGACATTCTGTGCTTTTTTTGAGCATTTAGAGATTAGAAACATTGTTTAGAATATTGCAAGAGTGTGGGAAGTGTTTGAAACACCTTAATTTATATATCTATATAAATACTAAAATAAACTACTACTTACTACTTGTACTATTATTCCTATTTCGCGGTTTTTCACATATCGTGGGTCTTCAGGGTACGGATCCCCTGCGAAAAACGAGGGACTACTGCAGATCTTCTAGTCTCTGTGGCAGAGGTTTCAGAGGAATGAGCTTGCTTTATACAGACAGCAGAGCATCAAACTGATAACTAAATAGTTAGATACCAAACGTCTCATATGTTTTGTGCTCTTTGAGTTCTTTTGAAGCTGTTTCTGTGAGACTTTCCTGAGACGGGAGACATTATTTCTAGTGAAAAACTGTTTCCATATGAGGTCAGTGTCTCTGCAAAAATATGTAAACAGCATATATATAGCTGCTGTGAAACACACTTTGTGGTCTGTTACATTATTTTCATTGCACTTACAATTTGTTCAGCAGCGGAGAGAGAATATGAAGCTGTCTGAATCTTTCGAACAACACTGACCCCCGTAACCAGTCAGAAATGAACAGATTACTGAACTTCACTCAGTGTTGCATTCCCCTGCACTTGAACTTCTACTCGACCATCTTGATAACTTATACTAATCTGAAGTCTCTTTGTTTTTGATAATTTAGTGATTTTGTAAAAACAACAGCATAATACTGAAACTGAAACCTTTTGGGGCTTCTTTGCACTTTGCTAAGTAAAGAGCTAATAGAGCTACATGAATATGTTGCTCAATCCTGAGGTGTTTTGTGCAGTTATCACAATCTGATGTTCAGGCTGCAGCAAATTGGAATACAAATTCAATAATAAAATAATTAGCTGTTGCAAATTTTTATCATCTTTATGGAGACTTGTTTAAAGCTATAAGAAGAGGATTTTGTTGCTGGCTGCACGGAGGCGCAGTTGGCCAAGCTGCTGCCTCTCAGCAAAAAGATTGCCGATTCAAATCCCGGCCCAGGATCTTTCTGGGTGGAGTTTGCATGTTCTCTCCATGCATGTGTGGATTTTCTCCGGGTACTCCAGTTTCCTCCCACAGACCAAAAACATGCATGTTAGACTGAATGGTAGCTCTAAATTGTCTCTAGGTGTGAGTGAGAGAGTGAATTATTGTTTATCTGGTTTGTCTCGATGTGTCCCTGTGATGGACTGGAGACCCATCCTGGGTGTACCCAGCCTCTCGCACTGTGTTTGCTGGACACCAGCGACCCCCTTGACCCGAAAAGGAAGGAGCGTGTAAAAGATAATGGATGGATGGATTTTGTTGCTAGCAAAATTGTTGGCAGGATGAAGATGGTTCTGGTTTGGTTATGAGTCTCACTGGCTCTGTTCCTTGGCTGGCAGCAAAATGTGGGTGGAGAGAGATGTCAGAGTTATATTCAGGTCTGCATAGCTGCATGGGTTTCCCCTCTATATATACACCCCCAGCCTTGTCCTATTCTTGCCTTGCTCCGTGTCTCTCAGGGACTCTCAGCCTGCTCTCCCTCTGCAGCCTCCATTACTGTACCAACCAAATTTTGCACTCGACAGCAACCAAGACCCATGGCCCAGCAGCAGCAAATTAGGTAGGAATGTGTTGAGCATGATGTGAGAGCTATGAGAAAAGCCTTTATAAATAATTATTTAAGAGCTGTATGTTCCATTAAGTCCAGACGTTAGTATGATCTTAAATGCTGGTGTGTTTGGTTATGTTAAAGCCTCACATGAAACTCAAGGACACACTGTTGGAAATCAAAAAAATGACTTTCACCAGGAGTAAATTTCCTTCTTTCACAATACACACGTTATGACATTAATTTATTTTATCGAGTCTTGTCCTTCCACAGCTTACCTGCCAAACTAATTAATGGAGGGATTGCAGGCATGGTGGGAGTCACCTGCGTGTTCCCAATAGACCTGGCCAAGACCCGACTGCAGAACCAGCGCAGCGGGCAGCAACTGTACAAAAACATGTAAGAATCACATCACCGAAAAAAGAAAGCTCCACCCCTCACACGCTCTTACCCTTCCCTCTGGTACAACGTTGGAGAGCATGGTTTGACACAATAAAGCAAAATCTTACAACGCTCATTATTTTTAACCATTTTTTCCAACTTCAGGATGGATTGTCTTATTAAAACTGTGAAATCTGAAGGCTACTTTGGCATGTACAGAGGTAAGACTCAACGACATGTCATTATAGGTAATGAAATACAAGTGCTGTCAGCAAAGAACGAGTTTAGATTGCATTTAAACATTTGAAAATCAATAAATCTATCTTTGTTTCAAACTAAAATGTTGTCTTTCATCTGAATATCCCCCCACAAAATAAGTTATATGCCATTGTTCTTGCCTGACTTATTTGTCATTCGTTTTAAAGAAATCTTTTGAATTTTCAGAAACACGTATTCAGATTTGAACGAGCTCATAACTGTCTCTGCAGGCGCTGCAGTAAATCTTACCTTGGTAACCCCGGAGAAAGCCATAAAACTAGCTGCTAATGACTTCTTTCGCCACCAGCTGAGCAAAGAGTTGTGAGTACCGCTCAAGAAAAAAGACTAATTCTTATCTAAGTCTTGTTCATTCTGGTTATTTTAACCCAGCCGCATGTCTCTTCAGTGGTGGGCTTACGGTTTTCAAAGAGATGCTGGCGGGATGTTGCGCAGGAATGTGCCAAGTCATCGTCACCACACCAATGGAGATGCTGAAGATTCAGCTGCAAGATGCTGGCAGGCTAGGTGTGGTAAACAAGCCACTTCCAATAAGAAAGCCCTCTCAGTCAACAAACATCTAGTCTTGAATTGTTTTATATCTTTTAGTGGCTCAGCAGAGAGTAATGCCAAGTGTGGTGACAACGCTGAAGATGGGGGGCACCAGTGCTGTTCTCAGCCGTTCCTATAACACGGCCCCTACATCTCAGGTCATTCGTACATCTGCCCTGCAGATCACCAAAGAACTACTGAGGACCAGTGGAGTTGCAGGATTGTACAAGGGACTTGGGGCCACACTGATGAGGTGACTGGAGCAAGCGTTCAGCAAACCAACTTCTTGCCCGTCATGTTTTTAGTGTCGCCGCTGAACGGTTAGCATGGTATTTCTCATTTTCTTTAGGGACATCCCGTTCTCTGTTGTGTACTTCCCACTTTTTGCACATCTGCACCAGCTTGGTAGGCATTCATCTCAAGATCTATCTGTGCCGTTTTATTGGTCCTTCATGTCCGGCTGCTTGGCTGGATCCATCGCTGCTGTGGCTGTGAGTCCGTGTGACGGTAAGTTGTTTAAAGTATTTATATTCAATACTTTGGACAACTGGAGACCAAATACCGGTTAGATTTAGACTAAAATTTGAGCTTGTAGCCTAGATGTTCGGAACACCCAATTAAGTTTTATCTGTGTTGCACAGTGGTCAAGACAAGGGTGCAGTCACTCAAAAAAGGAGCTAACGAGGAAACCTACAAGGGAGTGGTTGACTGTATCAGGTAGTTAGTTTCCAACACTGGATTTTAGCCCAAGTCAAATATTTTGAATTCCCTCTTACATTTTTTTTACAGTACAATTCTGATCTTTCTTTTCCTTTTACAGAAATATCCTGAAAAAAGAGGGTCCCAGTGCTTTCCTAAAAGGGTCTGGCTGTCGAGCTCTAGTCATCGCTCCTCTCTTCGGCATTGCCCAGGTTGTGTACTATGTGGGAGTTGGAGAGTTCCTGCTGGGGTACGCGCCCTACAACATATACTCTGCATAAACATGTTTCTAGACCTTTATGGAGGTTTTGTATAATATTTTTTTTTAATTGCAGCAGCTATCCTGGGCAATAAACCCGGCTCTTCTTCTTTTTTTTATTAAAAACAAATGTTTACTCTCTTTATTTTAAGAGAATCAGAGTTAAAACATTAATAGGACCAGAAATAAGCTATTTTCTATTAGAATGGCTTCTTCTTATATCTTTAGCTTAACTGTCTTTTATTTAAAAGACTAAAGTTGATGCTAACTTGTCTTTAGCCTTCGGTGGAGCTTATGAGATGAGAGCTGCTTCCCTCACTAAGGGATTTGTTCACTCTTTTGCTCAGAACAAACCAAACCTTTCCCTCCGCTTTTAGATTCAGCTCTCACTCCTAAATATATGTTCCCATCAGTCACCCCCACTGTAACCCTAAGCTACACATCCCACCAGCTGATCGCTCCTGGCAGCCACTAGGTAATGGTGTTGTGAAAGAAAGCTAAACAACACTGCATAAAATGAAACCAATACTTGAACTACTTTGATCTGTTTTAGGTTACATGTGAAAATGGAGTTTGGAGATTATTTCTAATTCATGTATATATTGTAAAATTGTTTATAAAGTAAATGTAGATAACTTCTACTGGAAGACATTTATCAAGTTATGCACTCTAAATAAACTGCAAACAACGTGGACAGTCTATTCAATATTTACTTGTTTTTTCTGAAACGTTTCCCAGTATTTGGTCACAGTTTGCCGTCTGCACTTCGATTTTAAGGAAGAAATGTATACTGTTACTGTGAATCCTTGCTACGGCAGCCTGAAAACCTCTTTTTATTTTATTTCAGCAATATCAGTAGATAAGACAACACAGGGCTCCAGCGAATTGCCTTTTTACTTTAAAGGAAATTAAGTAAAAAATAGCAGAGTAAAATGATGATAATGAGACTTTATCAATGGGTTTAATAAACTCTAAGGACCAAGTCTTAAAAAAAAGGTGCAACTTGTCGAGATGTGCTCTTAGCCCAGGATTAAAAACAGGAGCAGCTTTAGGCTACTTTCTCCTTTTCTTATTAAAACTGCCGAGTACTATTTATTTTAGTATTCTGTTTTTTACAGTTGTCTCAAGTTGTGCATCTGAAACTAAAAGCAGTTTTGGATTTTCAAGTACATTTTTTTGAATTACACAACTTAATAAATATTTCAGAATGCTAAATCAAATGTAATGATTGCAGTGTTTTTTTATGTGTTGTTGTTACAATTTGAACGTGTTGCATATGATAATATATTTTACCTGTACATAACACTTTTCTTCTTAAGCAACCTTCTAAAGTGTTGGACTAATCCTCCACATATGCACCGTGGTTTTGTTTTTGGCTGTAAAAGTGCTCATGTTGCAATGTTGGGGTAACTTTAGCTCGGGTAGTCCTTCAACTTCATGTTGCATTTCAAACAAAACTATCTCCTCAGCTGACGACTGCTGTCAGCTGTTAATGAAACTCAAACGATGAAAGGTGAACCTCTGACACGAATCTTCTGCAACTAAATAAGAAGGCTTTTTTTTTTTAGTGTAAGCTGTTTTATTACAGAGGATTTGTCTAATTTTGTCTGCGATTTTGTGAAAATTTATACTTGCATCTATAGTTTATTCCATGCAAAAACATCTTCCCACGTCCATTGTGTTATTTTATAGAAATAAAATCATCTGACATTGCCTGAAAATTTATACTAAAACCTAGATGAAAATGATATTTGTAAAATGTTTTGCTGCAAATTTGCTTAAGAGAAGGAAAAGTTTGGATCTGAACACGAATAGAAAAATAACTATATCTTGGAAACATTAAAAAATGTGTTTTTAATGAAGACATGTACTTGATTAGGATACTGTTAATTGCCTGCAACAAAAAAAAGCTACAACAAGAAACTGGTACCAGATATCTGCTCCCTCCATACACCACTGGCTGAATATTGTTAGGGAAATTTATGAAATGGAACCAATGACTTTCATTCTTAGACTAAAAGAAGACAGTTTTATGAATAAGTGGGGAAAATGGACACAGTACGACACCTACGAAGAGACATGAGGAAACTCAATATGATTAAATGAGGAATAGACTTTAGATACCTGCGATCGAGATTTATTTTTATTTTATTGTTATATGCATCTATATACATGTGTATGTATATATATATATATATATATATATATATATATATTTTTTTTTATTGCTTACTTATTTATTATTTATTTTATTGTAACAGGGTGGCTGTGGATGAATGGTTAGAGCAGTTGTCCTCAAATGCAAGAGCTGGTGGTTTGAATCCACCAGCAGTCACGTGCTGAAGTGTCCCTGGGCAAGACATTGAACCCCTCGTTGCCTCCCATGTGTGTCCCATCGGTGTATGAATGTGATAAAGTTCTGATTAGTCTCTTTAGAATGATTTGTTCAATTAGCTTTGTAGGGATCTTATAGTGCTGTATGAATGGGTAAATGAGGCACAGAGTGCAGTGTACAGCTCTTTGAGTGTCTTCATAAGATAGAAAGGTGCTATATAAGTACAGTCCATTTACCATATATATATATATATATATATATATACATATATATATATATATATATATATATGTGTGTGTATGTTTATTTATATTTCTTTTGGATGTTTGCCCCTTTCATGTTTTTTTTTTTTTTTTTATATTCCTGTAAAGAGACTCCAGATTAGGCTATCATAATCTATAAAATGTATGTGATATATCCTTGAAATGTTTGAAAATGTTCCTAAAAACTAAAGTGAAAAAGAAAGAAAGAAAACTATGTGGGGGAGTCTCATTTGATATAGTGACTCCAGAGTTAATTGTCGAAATCATAGGAATATGAAGTATTAACAGCAATTCCTAAACAAAATAGTCAACAAGTCCTATTGTTTAAAAAAAAAAAGGTTTTTTTTTTTCTTTAAAAAATAATTTTTAAAAAGTGAGTTCAACAACTGTACCAGTAAATACTTCAATTTAAACAATAAATAATTGAGAGTTGTTTTGACTGGTAGTCATTTAGGAATGTAAAAAATAAATAAATAAACCACAACACGTTGACTTTATGGTACAATTCATAGAAAGATGATCTGATTTGAATGTGTGTCAGAAAATAACAACAAGCTGTAAATCTGCGAGATGATAGAAGACACAAGACGGAACGTGTAAAACCTTGGAGGCTTTATTAAACTTCAGACAACTATTTTCCTGAGAACCCCAAAATGGTACTCGAATTACCACACGATCATCTGTGAGCGTCATTCACACTAAAATAACGGAGAAACACAGCAACAGCTTTTGGACGGAGCAGCAGTAAACACTGAAGCTCCTCTGAAATGACAGTCTGCTGACTCTCTCGTGTGTCGCCTGAATGGTGAGAGTAAACACTGCCAAATGGCATCATGAAGTACTGAGAGAGCCTTTGTTGTCTGGAGCCAAATTACACCGAATAAAAAACAGGCGACAAATAAAAATGATCTGAACCACAGCCGACCAGTGTCCACATCCTCATGAATTTCACCTAATGTGTTCTTTAAGTACCAACAGGATTGTATGACGACTACAAGGACATTTGTTGCTTTAGCAAAACCTTTACTGTTTGAGTCAAAGTGGAGTGCAACACTTTAATGCACACTGGAACGAGTCGTGCCACATGCACTCCTAGTCACTTACTTGCAATCCAAATCCATGAAAAAAAATATACACATGTATTTGCTACAACCTGCTGCTTACTAAATAGCTTATTAAAAAAAAAGGCACAATAAAAAGCTTTAAATTCAGTACTTGCCTTTGCAAAAACACCATAACGATCACGTCTATGTACAACTACAGCAAACACATGTTGGGAGTCAACATGTTAAAGCAAAAATTCTGTTCTTAAGTGGGGTTTGGTGGAAAGGTGATGAGCAATTAATATCTTACCTGTAGGTAACTCTCTGAATGACCTCAGTTTAGAGAGTTAATACGTTTTGACCAGATATATGTGGGTGATCTGAGCAGGGTCAAGACCAGAGTAGTTTGTTATTGTCTTAAAATAATATCAATCTATAAACTAACCTTTAACAAACCTGTTGACATCATTCACTTTCACATTATGCTGTAGTTTTTATAGGATGATTTGGTTAATAGCACTCCTGGTACGACCTGGGGCACGTCCAGAAATAATACTATAACATTTCAGCTGGAATACCCATTTTGATGGAAGATTTATGGCGGTATAAAGTTTTATCAACGTTGTTGCATGACCTGCTACAAATGTTTTTGATTTTTTTTTCTTCTTTTAGTTGTTTAAGGATGTCACCGATCCTCTTTGGTCTTGGCCTTGCTCTGACTAGCTGGTAGCTTGTCGGTCATGTGACTCATGTCAGAATGACACGAAATAGAACGAGACTGTTCAAAGAACTGTTTAAGGCAGGTAAGAGGTATGCAACAGGGATAATGATTTATAATCTTTCTACAGAACCCCACTTTAAAAGATCTAAACTAATCCTTTAAATAATAACTATGACATCAGATTGAACAACTGGCCAAAAAAAGTCATATGTACATACTGGAATAAATTCCCTTCAAATACCTGCTACAGCTGTATTAACCGGGACAGACAGTTCCACAGTGTACATATCGTGAGATGTTTTAGTTGTCATGGGGGGGTCTATTTTCAAAGCACAAAAGGATTACATAAGTTGAAGGGGAGGAAAGACCCACAGGCTGATTTACTGCTCTCAGTTAACCAGCTGGTGTAAATTTGGGCGGTAAACACAACCACGCAATCTGAGTCAAACTATTCAGTCGATAAAGACTGAAACATTCACTCTCACAGTGTATTTATAATTAAGGAAAGAGCAGAGATGAGGAGCCTCTTTCTCTGGGAGGAATTGGGAACACAATATTTTAGTTGCATGAAACGCTCCTTTTCATTAGATTTTTTAAAAATTGGATCATGTTTTATATCTTTGCTGGTTCTTTTCAACTTCTACCGTTTTTATAAAAGTACCTGTTCTGATAGATTAGGTAATGTTTTTAATCGTTTGGGTTTACCGTATTTTTCGGACTATAAGGCACAATTAAAACCGTTGAATTTTCTCACAAATTGACAGTGAGCCTTATAATCCAGAGCTCCTTAATTCTGGTTATGCTTACTGACCTCAAATCAATTTTACGTTGTACATGGTGCTCAAAAATCTATCAAAATGAACGTATTTCGCTTAATGCGCCTTATAATCCGAAAAATACGGTAGTAGAAAAATGCTTGCAATGTTTTAATGAAATGCAAGATTAGTTTCCCAAAGTCAGAAATCAAATAAATTATTATTTACATGCTTTATGGTAAATGTGTTAAAACATGCAAAATGTATGTCTATTTGTCTAAAATACTAAATGGTGCATTTCTTATAGTTTTTCTAAGAAACTGAAGGTCAATTAGCTAAACTAAAAGTGTAAAAAGTGGTTACATGAGAAATTTGTTTTCATTTGTATTAAAAAAAAAAAAAAGAAGTTAAATCTGCCTAAAAAAAAAACCTCCACCAGCACTATTTCAGAGGTCAGGGTTAAACGGAACATGATTGAGAATAATAAAACATAAAATACAAAACTTAACGAGGTTTAGACATTTACACATCAATTTGATTTCACTTGTTCAACTTTCATGCCACAGAACAAGTGTCAGTGTGTGTTGGTATGTGTGTGTGCATCTGTGTTACAGATGAGAAACCCATCTAGTTTCACCTCAGATTGCTCTCCCAGGTTTCTCACAGCCAAGAGGTCAGTGTCAATGCCATGTGAAAAAACCCTGACACTGTTGTGATGCTATGTGGCCTAGGACTCGTAGTAGTGTCCAAATGGTAGAACGGAAAAAGATGAGCTGCAATGTTCCCACTAAACATGTAAAAGTCTTATTGAGATGTTATAAAAAACATTATTCATCATGGCCAGTGACGATAAATAAATAAATTATATATACTGTATGTAGAAAACAAGAAGAGGCCAAAAAAAATGGAAGGGCAGAAGTTTATGGAATGGTCATTTTATCCGAAGCGCTGAGGAGCCTTTAGGTGCTGGATAGAGCCGGGGGTCTTAAATGACTTCCCTGCTATTACGAATGGCACAGCAGAGAACCATGCTGAAAATCATCCCAATGATCTGTTGAGAAGAAAAACAGACAAGTCGTTTTAATAAGGGAAGGGGAATTTATTAATGATTTTTCTAATCTTCTATCTCACCATGACTCCAGCGACGCAGATGCCTACATAGCCAATGATGTAGAGTTTATTGTTGAAGAAGTCTTCTATTCCTGACTCACAGTCCTGCAGAGTACAGATAAGAGCAGTAAGTACACCGTTTCCTCTGAGTCTGCCGGGATGTTTTCACATTTCATGATGGTTCGCTGATTAGGAAACAAAGTCTGATGACAGACCTTGTTTTCAAACTCCGAAATGGGACATGGGCTGGCTTTGGTTCCACAACATTTCAGCTGAAAATCAAAAGAAATTGATGGTGTTACAATCAAATTTCTGTTGTTTTCTGCAGTTTAATATACATAGTTGAACAAAAACCCATTTGTTTTTCTTAACGTACCACTTTTTGGTAAGTGATGATCAAAGTGCCATTATTGTTCTCATTGTAGGCCTCTGTGTAGAACTTCTGCACATTTTCAATTATCTGCATCAAACAAGATAATTGGGTTTGGCACAAAAGTTATCATATTTTGGCAACACTGTAAAACCTTTTATACATTTATAAATTAGTTATCAAAGAAGTGTACCTTATCTTTGTTTAGGAATGCAAACACTCCTGCAGCCACTTCTGATCCAAAAATAATCAGCAGACAAGCAAAAAACTGTGGAGGGAGGGGGAAATTAATTGATGATGATTCAAGTTAATGGAAATTTAATTGAAGAAAAAAAAGCAAATGTGTTTTTGTACTCACTGAACCCAAAAGACATTGAGATTCCCTAACAGCTCCACAACAGCCAAAGAAACCGACCAGCATTATAAGACTGCCAGCACCTATCAGAATATACACACCTGGAAAAAAAAAATGCAAAAAAGCAGAAAGCAATTAATATTAAACAAAGAATTAAAATTAGGCTTCTAGCTCGTTAGGGCACCAGACACATGAATGAAATACAACAACACAATTTAGAAACACCAGCACTGCTTTTAGCGAAGGATGAGTTCCACTCATGAGAGTCCACCAGAAGAGGGCAGCATCGAGTTACAAAAGTGGAACCAAAACTTGCTTTTACTGTCTGTCTGTCTGTCTGTCTGTCTGTCTGTCTGTCTGTCTGTCTGTCTGTCTGTCTGTCTGTCTGTCTGTCTGTCTATCTATCTATCTATCTATCTACCTATCTATCT